AAATGGAAAGAACTATCCGGACATTTATATGGAATAACAAAAGACCACACATAGCCAAAGCAATGCTGAGCAAAAAAAATAAAGCTGGAGGTATTACTCTACCTGATTTTAAACTATACTACAAAGCTATAGTAACCAAAACAGCATGGTACTGGTATAAAAACAGAGACTCTGATCAATGGAATAGAATAGAGCACCCTGAAATTAACCCACGCACTTACTGCCATTTGATCTTCGACAAAGGCATCAAGTCTATTCACTGGGGTCGGGACTCCCTCTTCAGCAAAGGGTGCTGGGATAACTGGATATCCATTTGCAGGAGATTGAAACTAGACCCATACCTCTCACCATGTACTAAAATCAACTCAAAATGGATCAAAGAATTAAATATACACCCCGAAACAATAAAACTTCTTAAAGAAAACATAGGAGAAACACATGAGGAAGTAGGACTGGGCACAGACTTCATGAATATGACCCCAAAAGCATGGGCAACCAAAGGAAAAATAAATAAATGGGATTATATTAAACTACAAAGCTTCTGTACAGCAAAAGAAACAATTAACAGAGTTAAAAGACAATCAACAGAGTGGGAGAAAACTCCTATTGGGGGGAAAAAAACTTTATTCATTATTGTGTCTAGCACACTATCTTATGGAAAAGAGGTAATCAATAAACATTTGCCTAACAAATGAATAACAATTACAAAACATTTGATTTACATAGAATTAATATGGATTCTAAAAATAAAAATTATAAACGGGACTGGTATTCAGCCAGTACGTACCAGTACAGTCGCACCCGTTGTAAAATATTGATATACTTCCATACTACTTCCTCTTGCCACCAAAACACCTCCCACTACCACTGCTCTCCTCCCTTGGAGCACCTGGATGCCCCATAATCTCCCAACTACAGGGCTAATGCCTTGCACAGCAAGAAGCGCCCAGGAACCTGATCCAGCCATGCAGCCAGGGTCCACTGGGGAAAGTATCTATTCTGACAGATCAGGCCTTGTGTAGTGTCTTTGTTAAATATTTTGATAATCACCCCAATTGAAAATAAGGCTTAATTATACAGTTTGAAAATGATGCTTTTTCCTTATTGCAAAATCTCTTAGAAGAGTCAACAGATCCAGGAATAGAAAGGAAAATGACAGTTTGTCAGTCTCTGAAGATTTATGGTATATTCATTAGGACTCAATCTTCATGTAAACCAGAAGATATGCAGTTTCCTGCCTAGAAAGAAGAGAAAATGCATCAGCATAGCAAGATGAAATATTCATCATGAAATGATACATTATTAATTCATGACAAGACAAGCATCAGCAAACTTCCAGGTCATTGGATCAAGTCTTCACCTTTCCATTACCTCAGAGTGATCTGGGAAATTTGGTATTAGTTAACATCAAAATCAGGAGTTGACAAATTATGGGATCACAGCCAACTTCAACCCTGTTTTTGCAAATAAACTTAATTGAAATACAGCCATGCACACACATTCATGTAATGTCTATGTTTGCTTTTGTGCTACAAGGGCAGAGTTAAGTAGTTGCAACAGAGCCTGTATGGCCTGCAAAGTCTAAAATATTTTCTCTATGATCCTTTACAGAGAAAGTTTTCCAACCCTTGATCTAAACTGTGGGGGAATCAATGACAACCAGAAAGTTACAAAGACTGGGGATCTAAGAGATGCTTGGGGAAAAAATGGAAGGGAAAGATGAAAAGTAGAAGGTTGGCAGAGGATTTCAAACACAAATTTCACCTAATTCATTATTTTTCAAATGATCAGGCCTACCTCTGCAGCTGAAAATCATTTCAAATATCATCTTTGGTATAAAATATCACCCCTAATCTAGAAACTCAACTGGAAATACTTACTCAATGTAAAGCATTCTCAATGTAAAGTATCTCTGCTTTAATTTCATCCAGCTTTTTTTTCTCTCTAGCTTTCCCTCTGTAGTATTGATTTAAAAAATATTTATTAATACTTACTAAATTCAAGCCACAGTGCCAGACAAAGAAAAATGAAAAGAGTGATACTTTCTCCCAAACAGTTCATGGTCTAATGTGAAAAAAAGTTATGTAAGCAAACAAGTAAAAAACAGTGTGGGGCCGGCCCCGTGGCTCGCTTGGGAGAGTGCAGCGCTGGGAGCACCGAGGCCACGGGTTCGGATCCTATATAGGGATGGCCGGTGCACTCACTGGCTGATCATGGTGCAGACCACACCATGCTGAGGGTTGCGATCCCCTTACTGGTCAAAAAAAACAGTGTGATACTTGCTATAAAGGAAGTATGCTCAAAATGCAGTAAAAGCATACAAGAATCCCCTACAAATCTGCTTGGAATAATCCATAAAGGCTTCACAGAATAGGAAAAGGCTATGAGTATTAGAACAGGAGTGGGAGTTTACCTAGATGGCATATTTGGAGGCAGCAACACAGACCAGGAACTACATATGTGTAATCATACAGAGAAAACTGAGGCCATGGTATTTGGGGAACTACTTAATATGTTAGTATTATTGGAGTCAAAATTGTGAGAAAAGCATGGTGTAGAGGGATGGGTGTTGAACGATGAGCCTAAACAGTTAGTCACTGGGGAGAACCCTGTGTGAGCTCATCGGTTTCCACTACCCACACGCTTCTCTTACCAGCGGTAGTTACGATTTCCATAGGTACACTGGATATCTTCCCAGGACACCTGGAAGTACACAAACGGATGAAGTCAAGCAGCCAGTTGACATTTATTAAGCATCCATAGAGTACAGGGTACTATAATTTATCCTCCTTCGCTTCTCCAGACAAACCCATGCCTAGTCACTCCCAAGACCTGGAGCATCTAGTGATAGGATGTCATGTATAATTTCTTACCCATGTCCCTCTGGTTAAACTTGATTATGCTTATACCAGGGTTCTAACTTAAATATTTCTAAGTCTTCTCACTTTCCAGATGCTTCCTACAGAGCAGGAAATTACAGGGCACTGGGCCTATAGCAACAAAAACCTAGACACTGAGGTAAGTGGACTCTTACAGAGCAGTAAACCAGATGGGAACTTTGTGCAGAAAAGGGCTTTAAAGCTAAAAAAGGAACCACACACAGAGAACAGGACCACAGTGTGTCTTGACCTTGTGGATCCATCCTGGGCTCAGAATTTATTAGAGGGGGCTAATCCAGGGCAAGAGGCAATTTTGGATAATGTTTCTCACCCAACAAACATTGGAGTCATTGAAGCAGAACCACTTTCCATCCATAGAATTCCGGATATAGGCACAATAATGACCAAAATCAGCCATTCCCACGTGGGCAATCACAGCAAAGAGTTCATATTGTCCTCCACACTGGAAGGAGACAAGGCACAAAATAATTCACCCATCAGCCCTTCTTTTCTAGCCCTAGTCTCAAATAAGGAAACATTATTTCATTGCACATTATTCATTGTCTACTGTATGTCAGGCACTGGTACATCAAGGATGCCAGAAAACAGTCCTTGACCTCAAGAATCTCACCACTAATTAAAGGAAAAATATATAAACCAGAATTATAATGGCATGTTTTATACCAGATGTCTTTACTGATGATTTGAGAAGATCTGATTTTTGCCAAAAAAAAAAAAAAAGGAGAAGCTGAGGAAGGACTAGGGAGCTGAGGAAAGCTCCCCAGAAAAGACGTGCTTGAACTGATCTTGAGGGATGACCAAGACTGCCAGAAAAGTTACTGGAAGGGGGTATTCTTGAATGCAAACCCCAAAACTGCATAGGCTAAGTAGCATAACAGAGCAGATCATATGAAGAAGTGGAAAACAGAGAGGGTGCTGTGAGGTCATCAGAGATGAGGCTACAAAGGCCAAGTCAAGAATTAGAGTTTTATTCCATGAGTGATGGGGAACCATTAGAACATTTTAAGCAGAGGAGCAAACTCTTTCAAATATGTTTTCCAACCACAATTTTTTTAAAATTTGTTGAAACTTGATTTGTGAACTAACATGTAGTCTGTCCTAGAGAATGTTCCATATGCTGATGAGAAGAACGTATATTCTGTAGTCATTGGGTGAAATATTCTGTAAATGTCTGTCAAGTAAAATTGATCTAATATGTAGTTTAAATCCCATGTTTCTCTGCTGATTTTTCATCTAGATGATTTGTACAATGCTGAGAGAGGAGTATTGAAGTCCCCAACTATTATTATATTGCGGTCTATCTCTCCCTTAAACCCAATAATAATTGCTTTATATATCTGGATGCTCTGATGCACTGTTATATACTCGTGCTGAATTTATCCCTTTATCATTATACAATGACCTTCTTTGTTTCTTTTTATCATTTTTTTTTTGTTTAAAGTCTATTTTATCATATAAGTATAGCTACTCCTGCTCATTTTGGTTTCTATTTGTGTGATATATCTTTTCCCATCACTTCACTATAAGTCTGTGTGTTTCTTTAAAGGTAAAGTGAGTTTCTTGTAAGCAGCATATAGTTGGATCTAGTTTTTTTAATCCATTCAGCCAGTCCTTATCTTTTGTGGGGAATTCAATCCATTTACATTCAGGTTGTTATTGAAAGGTATTGCCTTACTCCTATCATTTTATTGACTTTTATGGTTGTTTTATGTATCTTTTGTTCCTTTCTTTCCCTTTTATTGGCACGGTCCATGCCATGGTGGGGTCTTGAAAAGAATAGCTTGGGCTGCCCTTTCCGATTTGGCAAGAGCCCGGAGGGAGAGCTGCTGGCAGGGCCACAGCTACCAGCACTTGCTTTCACTGGAAATATCTCTGCCTTGGCAGAGTGGTGCTGCTTTTGCTTTCTCTTTTGATGTTTTGGTCAGCGTGGCAGTTTCCTGAGTTT